GGGGCAGAGGAGGAAGAGGAGGAAGAGGAGGAAGAGGAGGAAGAGGAGGAGGTGGCTAAGCCAAAGGAACCACCAAGACCAGAGCAGAAGCCAGGAGTGAAGGAAGAGCTGTAGCTTTCTCCAGGGCAGGCAGGAGGCAGGTGCCTTGTCCAGGTCCTGGCATGACGCTCTGAGGGACCTACTCCAGTACCATTGCATTTCCCTGTGGGGGTGGGAGGGGCTGGCTAATAAAGGCTCTGGGTGTTTCCGCTCTGCTCTAGTCACTGCCTGTGTGCCTGGGGGTGCTGCCTGCAAGAGCCTAGGCCTGGAACTCAGACAGAGCTGCACGGGAAGCCCTCAGGGCAGCACTTCATGATCACTGCAGCAGTTTTCCAGAGCATGGAGTTTAGAGGGGGCGGGCCACTTAGCCACTGTGCACACACCACCTCGCCCGGGGGTGGGGGGGACCCACAGTTTGGCTAAAACTTTCCAGTGAGGGGCATTGATTTGTTTGCGTTGCACTTGGGCACAGTAAGAAAGATCCAACCCCAGCGGGTCCTCACTCTTCCACGGTCGTAAGTGACCCAGTCTCTCCAGCAGTGATGCCCCAGCCTGACTCCACCCACTTCCTCCGCTGACCCACCCACGGCCCCTGTGTCCACACCATGCGGCTGCAGTGGGCTCTATGCCACTCTGTGCCTCTGGCCGGCCCCCTCCAAACTCCATGCTCCGGAAAACTGCTGCAGTGATCATTTCACAAGCCACAGCCAGGCCGGCTTACAGCACCACCTTGTGTAAACCTCAAATGGCATCTTTGTTGCTTTTAGAATAAAGTCCAGTCTGCGCACCGGCCTTCAAGGCCCGGGAAGGTCTGGTCGGTGATCTCTGCCACTCGATTCCTAGGCTCCAGACTAGTCTTTGAACAATTCAAACTTCCTCTCTCTTCATGGTTACTACTTCCGCCGAAACGCACATGCAATACACGCTCCTCCCTAGACCTTCTCGCAGCTGTGTCCCTTTTATCCTTCATCTCAACCCAATGCCACCCCCTGCAAGAGGCTTCCTGGCCGCCAGGGTGTGGGAGCATCAGATGGTCTTGCTCTGCAGTCTCCTGCCCGCGGAGCGGGAGCCGGGGAGCAGGCCTGCCTCCGCCCTTGCATTCCCCAGCCCAGGACTCTGCCTGGACATAGCTGCTGCTCAATAAGTGTTCATGGACCAAGTGGGATTCCACGGCAGACAGCAGAAATGCAGGACTCCAGTCACCCCGACAGGGACAGGTGCTGGCAGTGTTGCCCTGAGCCAAATGCGACGGGGTGAGTTTCCTAGCATTGCCTTGACGGAGACCACACACAGCAACACATGTATTCGCTTCCAGCTCTAGAGACCAGAAGCCAACCCAGTCCCACGGGCTGGCCTGGGGCCTCGAGCCCGGCACCCTGCAGCACCCCCTGATGTACTTTTCTGGCTTCTGGGGGCTGCTTGTGTTCCTTGGCTTGTGGCTTCTTTCTTCCTTGAGTCTCCCTGGCCTCTTGTTTCACCCTCACATCTCCTGCTCCTTCGACTCTAATCCCCCCGCCCCCTGCCCTTGTAAGCATCACTGTGAAGGCAATGCTGCCTGGAGAACCTCTTCATCCCAAGACCCTAAACTTAATTAAACCCAAAGTCCGGTTCTCTGTGTGACACTCATGGGTTGGGAGATTAGCCATAGACACATCTCGGGCCATTCTTCAGCTGACACAGACTGGCACTGCTCATTGGTGCATGGCTCAGCAAGGTGGTACTAGGCCTCCTCTTGGGAAAGGAACCAAGGCCTCCACAAGCCACCGGGGCCTCCACTTTCTACCCGTCCTGTGAGGCAGAGGCCACTCCCACCCCAGCCCCACCCAACCTGGCCTGTGGCATCCTGGTGAAAGGGGAAACGCCAGGGCTGGAACTTCCTACAGGGGCAGGTGCTAGTGTTCGGGACACGATGCAAGACCATGTGGCTTCCGGTTGCAGGAAGGGTCCGCAGGGGCTGCTAGGACAGCATCACGTGGAGCAGAGGCCTTGACTCGTCATGAGCTTGGGACTGTGTGTTACCTGCAGGCCCTCTGGTGTGATGGGGCCTCAGGAAGTGGGGGAGCAGGTGGGGGGAGCGGGACAGGTAGGTGGGCCAGGTTATGTCCTCTGTTGGGCGGGTCTTCTCCCCTGGCTCACCCTCTGCCCCTTCCCAACACACTCTACTCTCACAAAAACCCTTTGTGTTCTGCGTGATCAACTTTTCAAAACACCTTTGCTCTCTCAAGACCTAAAACCATTTATTCCTGTAACTCTCATGGCTGAGCACGGAATGTTCTTTACCCCAAGGAAAGCCATACATCATAAATACGAGTGACGTTTAAGCTTTAGTATGGACTTAGCACAGCTGCTGTGCAAACTGGGGGGACTGCCCCAACCACTCTGTACGCGTCCTCTCTGTCCCCGCTGCATTGTATGAGGCAGCAGATGTGGGAGCCTTGACAGTGTCCGGCCCAAGGAGGCCTCAGCGACAGCCACCAAGACGGTGGAGCTCGTCTCCTGCCGGGTTTGAAAGTTGAAGGAAGCGTGTTCCAGGGAATAGGAACTGCTGAGAAATGGAGCGAGGTTTCCTCAAAACCAAATATATTTGAGCTTTGGGCGCGTCTCTAGGAGTAGTCGAGGGGACATTGATTGAACTTGGCAATAGGGCCGTCTTGGTGACACTGAGCAATGCCAACGGAGCTCCGATTCGGAAAGCAAATTGGTGTGAACAGAAGCGATCAGTGGTCAGAGCCGTCTTTTGAGGAGTTGGTCTATGAAAGGTGGACAGTTGGGTGGTGGCTGGAGGGGGTGTGGATCCAAGCAAGGCTTCTGTAGAGAACACTCCAGTGGCGGAGAGAAGGGCAAAAGGGGGTGAGTGAGGGTGAGAGAGAGGAGCTCCGAGCAGAGAGAAAAGTGCTGCCTCCACCGGCATGGGTGGGGGGCGGGGAGGGGGGGGCGTGGGCCATGAGGCTGAGGCGGGAGGTGAAGGCAGCACGAGGCCGCCACAGCTCCGCTACATGCGCAGGGCTCATTGCTGTCAAGCACAGGCAGTATTGTTATTTGGGGGTGGCAGGGCCATGGAGGTGACTGCCATTGAGGGGGCAGCTTATTGGAGTCACCGATCCCGAGGGGAGGCCGGCTCTGTGCCGTGAGGGGCGCAGGGCAGCACCGGGGTGAGTGGTGGTCCAGGGGGAAGGTGGTTTCCCGGGGAAGCAGCAAGCAAGGGGGTGAGCAGGCTCCGGGCTGGCCAACTTGAATAGTGTCAGTAGCTCTGGGACAGGGGAGGGGGCGCTTCCCTGAGTTGCCTGGCGCCTGGCCCCGGGGAAGTTGGGCAGGGGAACAGGGACCTGGGTGTGTGAGCCCCTCCAGGGGCCTGGGGTGAGGGCTTCCGGCCGGTAGGTTTGCACGTGAGAGACGCTCTCTCAGGCCAGCTCTCTGCTGTCTGGGAATCAGCGGCCCTGGGAAGGCGATCACCCCCAGAGGTGAGAGCGTCCAATACAGAAGCAGACCGGCCTGTTCTTAGACTTGTGCAGTCTCCAGCCCACACTTCCAGTCTCCTGCCCAGATGCCCAGACACCACGAGCCTCCGCCGTGCGCTCTCCACAGACGCCCAGGCCTGAGTGTGCCGGGCCTCGTGGACACCAACCAGAAAGGACATCGCCATGCAGGCGAGAAAAAGCACATTAAAAACTTTCATTCATGTCCTTATTCCTCAGCAATAGAAGGAAAGGACGCATTTCTGCAGGGACCAAAACGGCAAAGGACACGGGCGGCCAGGGCCAGAAAGAGGGCACGTGATAAGCCACAGAGGTGACAGCTCCTTAGCATGGAGGGTTGCAGAAGTGAGTGAGGAGGTGTTGCTGACATCTTTTCTCAGGGCCGTGAGCACTGCGGTGGATGTAGACCGGCATTCACACAGCTCTGGGCAGCTGTTCACGAAGAGGGATCGGAATTCTTTTTCTTTTTTTTAAAAAAAAAAATTTTATTGATTTTTACAGAGAGAAAGGGAAAGGGATAGAGAGTTAGAAACATCAATCAGCTACCTCCTGCACACCCCCCACTGGGGATGTGCCCGAAACCAAGGTACATCTCCTTGACCAGAATCGAACCGGGGACCCTTGAGTCCGCAGGCCGATGCTCTATCCACTGAACCAAACCGGTCAGGGCGGGATGGGAATTCTTAAACTTCTGTCACCTCTGTGACGGGAAGTTTTCCTACAAAATTAGCCCGAGGTGACGGCCCGGGACTGCCAGTCACCCGCCACTAAAAGACACAGGTCACAAGGGCCCCTGGGAGCCCGGTCCACGCACATTGCTTTTCCTCAGCACGAGGGACTCAGGTGGCTCCATCCCTGGGTGGGGCAGAGGCAGGAGGTGGAGCCGAGGTATTTTCTCCCCGCGCCTGTGGCAGCCTCGGCACTGACTTCCATGGCAGGCAGGCCCTTAGTGCCTGCCTTTCCTTCAACCAGCACAGCGAAGTGACCCCAGGAAGGGAAGGCGATGGCCTCCCGGCCGACAGTAAGCGACTGATTGGCATTCAGATGGCTGACTCCAAGGTCCATTCGGTCCTGAAGTTTATCCACCCGCCAAGGGCCCTTCCGTGTGGGAACGCAGGTTTCTGTGTCACAGGGTGGGCCTGGTCCCAGGTCTGCAAGACCGTCTGCCTTTGACCTTCAGCCTCTGTCAGCTCCTCTCCTGCTCACATGGGGACCCTGAGGGTGGGACACCTCAGAGTGTGCCCTCTGCAGGCTGGGGGAGCCTGGTGCTAGCTCAGGCCCCTGCCAGTGCCCACGAGGAAGCTTGGTCCCCGCGCCGCCTCCCCAGGTAATTCCTGACTGAGGAGCCTCTGATGCCAAATGGCGCAAACAGGCCTTGTGTCTGCGACCAAGTGTGACCCTCTGCTGGCCACCATTTGGGGTCTCTGCCCATTAGGAAAGCGACAGCCTCGCAGCCTAGAAAAGGAAAAGCCGTGTGAAGGGGGACTATTCCAGCCCCCAGGAAACGGCTAGAGAACAATGGGAGGAGGGCAGGCCGCGGGCAGCTTCGTACAGGGGAGCACTCACTTGGAAGATGGAGATGGTTCTCTGTCTCTGGCT